ATTTCCCTCTCACCCCCCCCCCCTCTCTCTCTCTCATCTCTTCATAAAATTAATCTGATGTTAAAAATAAAAGTTATACATCTAAATGTTTAACAAAATATAATATATAAAAAGTTGTAGCCAGGATACACATTTTTTTCTTTATGTTATCTTCTAGTTTCATTTTCTTTCTAATATTTCATACTCTTCAGTTCCTCCATAAAATCAGAAATCATTACCCTTCCTTAAATAACCAAATCAACAATCCCCCTCTTACCAAAAATATGAAAAATTTCAAAAAATTAATACTCTCTTGATTAATTCTCCTACCATTCAGATATGCCTATATATATTTACTTAGTATAATCAGGCTTAATATCCAAAAAATAGGATATTTTTACACCAATGAAAAGGCAAAACTATTACCTATGAACTCACTACAATTACAAGCCTGCGGCAGATTAAGAGTAACAAAATATGCATACATCGTTGATGATAGCGGCTTCATCAAGCTTGTATTTGACTCCCCAAATACTATTACTTGTAACGACATATGTTCTTCTCTTTCCCATTCCATAACTAACAACAGCCAAAAGATTTAAGATGAAAGAACCTTCGAGAGAGAAAAAAAAAAATCTTTCTATAGAGATAGCTTCAAATAAAAAAGAGACAATAAAAATGAATAATTATAGATGAAGAGAAGAGAGTTATGTGATGGAGAAGATATGACTTAGTATTTATAGTAAAAAAAAAAAGTAACCAATAAAATTGATAATTTAAGTTGAGTAAAAGAATAGATTGTAACGTTTACTGACCATTATTGTAGTTTAATTACCATTATGAGTACTATGATTAATTGCATCAGTTACAAAAGAAACAAAAAGGTTATTTACTACAAAAATTTAACAATTAGGAGCAATACTTTATTAACTTAGATACAAATTCAAACTAGTCGCCTAAGTATTTTGTGATAATTAAATAAAACATTATCATTTTTGCTTGAAAATAAAACTATCAATTCTCATTCCACATTCCCAAAAAATTGCAGACTATACAAAACCTTTCTTCTTTTTACTTTTTTTCTCTCTTATAGTATATACATTTTGGTATATTTTACACTATCAAATTCTATATTGCTCGTACTTTTCAAAAATTGTCGGGTGTGTGTTTAAAAATTGTACATTTTTAAAGGATCTGATGCGAATGCAACAATATTTTGAAGAGTCGAGGCAACATAGATCAAATCCCGACCAGAAAAAACAAAAAGATTTAAACAAAATATTATGACTACTACAAACCAGCAGCAATAGATGAATACTCGTCATAAAAATCAGAAACTCCAGAAGCCAACCACAACTTCTCATTAAAATCCTCCATCATATCATCTGGTACAAAAACTGCTCTACAAAGCGGACACGTCATCTGATCATGATCCATCCAACGGTCCACACAGCTCCGATGAAACACATGCTGACAATTCCTCAGCCGTCTGATCTCATCGTCCAACTCGAACTCGTACAAACACACCGCACAGTTCTCCGGCGGGTCCATTATCTCCGAGTACTTCACCACCGGTAATATCTCCCTTATCAACGCCGCCGACAATGAGTGAAACCGGGGCTCCGAACATGATTCGGGTCGGGTCGGGTATGAAAATTCGGGCTCGAGAAAATCCTCGAGGCCCAAAAGCTTAAATAGTGTGCAAATGAGTTCTTTAATGAAACCCAAAATTATAATAACGTGAAGGAGTAATTTAGGAAGATAAAGTTCAGTGTAGCCTAGTGGAAAACCCATAATTAATCTTTATTTTTTTTTATTTGCTTTGTGAAAGAATAAAAGAAAAAAAAAAGAAGATGAAAATGAAAGGTGTTTTCTTTGAATAGTAGTGTGTGTAGTGCGTGAAAAAAATGGAGGAATTAGTGATGGATATAGAGTTGAGCTGAGATTGGTTGTTAAAGGGGGAATGTTGAAGGTGGGGGATTATATAGGAAAGTATGAATAGAATAAAGCGAAAAAGGGTCAAATTTGTGCCCTTTTTCGCAATTTAGCTAAGAATAGAAAAAGCGAAAAACGTTACTTCTATCGTTTAAAAATAAAAAAATTATTTTCAATATACTCTCGGCTCAAGAAACAATTTAGCTAGCGTTATACGATTACTATATAGGAAAGAACTCTCCTCCCAAAATGCTCTCTCTATCGCTTAAAGATTAGAGTTTAGACTAAGGTATAGTTAAGAGTTACGTCTGATATCCCGTGAGAGAATTATCACCTATCAGTAATTATAATTGTGAGTTAATTAATTTTTGGCTTTCGCTACAAGAAAATACCTGTAAGTTCTCCGTTTATGATTTACATCAATCTGACTCTGTTTAGTATTGATGAACATGCATCTACTGGGGTAGAATTGAATATTTTTCCTTTGAATCACAGAGTTCATCTATTTTACATTGATGCTCCGTCAATGACAAGGTTTACTAACGACAAGGGCATGAATAAATAATAAATATAACGACTTTTTCTTTTCAAAAAAAAAATCTCGAAAAATAGAAACACAAATCCGAGCATTTTTTAAATGATAAAAATGGATTATTTTTTTCCGGTTT